AGAAAGAAAGTCAGGTTAGAACTAAAGAGGCGCGAGAAAGGAAGGTGGAAGGAAAACGCAGCAGGCTGATGAATATGGCACGAGAATTCAAGGACGCTGAGAGGAGAACCAGAGAAGGCGAGAACGGAATGAACGATGACGAAAGGAGGCAACGAAGGAGGAATACGAGAACTACTACAATGGGCGAGAGGATCGAGAGAGAAAAAAGGGTGCGCGACGGACGAAAAATGGGCGTGACTAGGGGGATAGTGGAGGACGAAGAGCGAAAGCAACGCGATTCTACAACGGAGGACGAGGTTACGGTCAAAGGGGGCGGGCGAGGTCAAAAGAGGTGGGCGGTTTCGAAGGGGGAATGGCGAGGCGGGCGGTGACGCGGAGGAAGCGGAGATGGAGGAAGGCGAGGCAAGGCCGAATCGAGAGGAGACGCCAAAGCGAAAGCGGAGTTGAGTGGGCGGGCGACGGCGTTGAGGTCAGGAAGGGCGGATGAGTGCGCGGAGAATGGGTAAGTGCACGGCCTTACAGACGGCCACTTTCAGCGCGCCCTCACGCGAGCGGGAGCGAGGGCGGGGGTGGGGTGGGGATGGGGATGGGGGCGCGGGCGGCGGCGCACATACGCAAGGTTTACTTGCGCGCCCAGCGGAGGGGGTAAGCAAAGACTCGCCATGTCGCAACACTCACGTCCCTCAAACCCGACGGCTCGGCGCGGAGGCGCACCTGCCCGACTCAAAGAGCAGTGGGCGGTTCAGAGGCACTGCACGACACCCGACGCATTTCAAAAATTAATTTTGAAACTGTAAACGAAATGAAATTCACGGAATACATTTCATTAAAATATGAATTTTATATTTGTTGACGTTCAGCAAATTATGTGAGATATATGTTGAAACAAGAGAGGAAAACCAATTTAAATAATAAAATTACTAGTGGCGCTACACCAACACATACGTTCTCGCATTATTTGTAACTTTTGTAATTTTTGAAAACATTAAGAGAGTTTAATGAAAGCGTCATATTTAAACGGGGTCTTTACTCTGAAAAATCTTCTGTGAGCCAATTTTAGGAAAAGTTTGAAAATGTCATTGAGGCTTCCTGTTAAGTACAAAAAATCGTGTTCAAAAATTTTTCAAGTGGCTCGTCATCAGTCGTATAGCCATTATCGTTGCTCACAGACAGACTTTTGGCGACAACTAATTTTTCGGTAACAAAGATTCACGAACCACACATTTTGTCTACACACTGCCTGAGGAAGTTATTTAGTACGTATGTGAATAATAATTATCCGCTTTCTCAGTATCAGGGATCTACAAAACTTCTTTTCTGCCAAGAAATCGCCGTTTATGTTGCAGTGCAATACTACCTCTGTACTACGTAAGTAGTATGCGAGAAACTAATAATTATAAAACTAATGTGTTATTCCCAATTTGGTTAATAATTCTTCATATAAAAATTTTGTACAAAGAAATTACTCCGTGTATTAATCCTTTTCTGCCTCAATACTTTCGTTAAAAAAATTCATTTCAACACTATAGTTCAAAAGAAATTTTCTCAACATATTGGAATGGGCATGGTGACAGCTTTTAGGATTGCACGGAAAAGAGCATGAAGGTCTAATTGCATTACTGCAACATTTTAAGGTGTAAGTTTAAACTATCTACATCTTTGTATAGAGTGCCCGTATGAATCCGTACCCAGATAAAAGTTAAACAAATAGGCAAGATTAATTTGAAAAAATTACTGTCTGGCTGAATTCTCACATTGAATTGGTTATGTATTATTATATCTATTGTTGTTTTATTTTTGATGCGTTGTACAATCTCGCTTAGCTGGGCTTTATAGCCCTGCAGCAGCAGCTAGGTACAGTAAGCAGAAGTGAGTCAAGCAAATGAAATTTTCATGGGTGCACCAAGCCAACCTTTTCCTTTCAACCCGACATGATATGCCCCTCGACACTCGACCATGATGAGCCGACTCAATTAGGTCAAAGTAATGGCTTGCGATTACTTTGGAGGAACCCGTTTCTAGCAACTTGTGGGAAACTGACAAGCCCCTACCCACAACGATGCCACAAGTGACACTGCACAACAGACGTGAGAAGCATGTAGCCTATACGGCCAGGGGCACCCTGGACGACTACTAATCGTAGCAAAACATTCTATGAAGAAGTGGTGACTCCTAATCAAGTCTATTAAAATCATTAAAAAATACGTTGGCAAAAATTAGTTCTTTGAAAAAAACTCTCTTTTAAAAAATACAGTGATATTAACTTAATAAATATTACAAAACCTACATTCAATATTCTTTTAAAGTTTCAATTTTTTCCGACATATTATTATATTCACTTTCGCTAGGTAAAGTCAATAGTGTGGTAAAGTAATGGCGTAGGAATACGGTTATTCTGTGACTAGCATTATTCCATTATCTACTATTAAGAATTTCAATAGCTGTTCAACTGCGTAAAATATATTGGTACTGTCATTACTGTCAATTGCGCTGCGTACAGTGTACTACAAGGATTTTCTTTCGCAGTCTTACCAGAGTAGTAAACCGTCACATTTTTTTCGAAACGGACGTTTTCACACTTAACATCATACATCATACGCTCGAACATTTTTCTTGATTTTTGTGGAATTAATGTTTCATTGCAGCATTTTCTGCCACGTCGATGTCTGATTCACAGCTGTCACTCGTTTTGAAAATAACAACTGTTCTCATTGTTGAAAAGAATGTCGCCACTCACAGAAAAAAAAGACTAAAAGCTTAGTACGCGAAATTTCAGAATAAATTCAATCAATTTTTACAAAATGCATAAAAAGTACGATGTATTATCGTAACATCTTATTACTGAATTGGTTACCAAACTCGGTCCAATGGCGCCGTTTTCCAATTTTCTAATCTCGCATTGTAATACAATGCATTGCGATACCCTGAATTGTAAAAAAACTTCTAATTTAATACGGAACGTCCGCTAAAGATGTGTATTTTCTATCATCCTCTTACCCATCCCTGTAAACGAACTCGACTAGAAGAAGTACACGTGGAAGAGTATACCACGAGTGGGCATACCAAAGACGAGAAAATTACTTCTCCATTGAAATCATCCACATTATTTCGGGTTACATTTTTAATTTATTCAAACTTTAAATTGGTGATAATTCTGAATCCAAATGTATGCATTCAAAAATCCGAAAAAATATATATTAAATTTGTAATGTAAAACAAAACGGTAATTAAATTTAATTGAAGACCGTACCTAAAAAAGATACACCTCTCATATTCAAACAGCAGGTCTAAACCAGCTATGTGGACGAGAAATATGCTTGAATTTGGCCGTGGATCAATCTGGCAATGGACCGGATCTAAAAGAGCATACTGAGCTAGAGCAAACTGAAACGAAAACCAACGTTGCCTTGGTTAGTTTGCACTCGCGATCTCGGGGCACTCGCCTTTGATGCCGAATGAGCAGTGATCCCGAGTGAGCAGTTACGTCGGCAGGAAATGGGCAAACTCGCGTCGAAACATCCCTTGAGTCAGTCTGCAGATAAACCTCATTAAGTTCAAAATAAATATGTATATCACGATTGAGTCTGGAATGTAATTATTATCCACGAGAAAGTAATTTGGACAGGAAACTCTGTTTTCCTTGTAACATGCCTTCGGAACTCAACATACAATAAAAGTTCAGTGAAATACTTTTCTAAAAGTACGTTTCATGAAATCTGAGTAAGGGAGAATTCTAATGAGCATGTCCAATATGACATATTCTTTCGAGAGTCCTTATACCCGAGGGTCAATATAACTGTCAAAGTTGGATACGGTGCTAAAATTAAAATCTACATCTTCGCCTTCGCATCATTGCACAAAAATTTAATTTCACACATCCGTCGGATATTCGGAACGTGCTTCACGTCCCACAAAACGCCCACCTTGATTCCAAAAAGACGCAGCGGGTTCCAAAAATACATTTAATTAGAACTGGAGGATACACGCCCCAAAAGTTCTCAATCGTGTACTTTTCACTGGAATCATGCTTCACTGACTCGTGGTACGCACAAAGTCATAGAGAAGTTTAAAATGAAAAGTTGAACGAATGTTGAATGGAAAGGACAATGTATGCGAACTGCGATTGAGTCATCCCTGTTGGTGTCACCCCTTCCAATATACACGATGATAAAAACAGGGGGAGGGACTGAAAAGGAAATATATAAAACTTTTCTATTCCTTGCATTCACAGACTAATTTGACCATACCATGTTTCATCACGCACTTAATAGTAAAGACATGCGCTACACTGAGCCAGAACTATTAAATACTCCACAACAACATAGTCGTTACGAATGTAACAGCAGTCTTCCTGACCAATGAATATCAATAGGTTTGCTCTCAGTGTTGCAACCTGCTTGAGGACGAAGTGAGACCGGGTACAATTAATTGAAGCGAATAGAAAAATTGTGTTCGTATCACGTGGGAAAAGGGTGTATAGACTGAACGTGAAACTAAATCGGCGCTATCACGTGTTTATTTGAACACGCGCCTCTCGAGAAGTTATAGGTTCATTTACCCACTAACGCCCAACCTTCACCCCTGTTGTAAGGTGGATTTTTATCTTTTTTCATTAGCTTCCTGGTGGTCTTGTCCACTCAATTTTAATCAGAAAACAAATGACGATTTCACATACATTATTCGGTGAAGGGTTCACCTCTTTTTCTAGCACATGGATATTATCAACGTATCTGATATATGCCTATTAAGGGGAGATACAATAATATGCACCGAAGATAAGGGGGCGAGAGCAGAGTAGCAAAATTGTACGCAGCGAGGTTGAAAGTATAGAAAATTCTCGATTGCGGGGTTCATATTTTTCTAACGATGCCTTTTGTGCGGGCGGGCGTCCTCTGTCGGAGCGACGGGCCCGGGCGAAGCCGGCCCGACGTGGGTGTCGGGGGCCAGGGGCCAGGGGCCAGGGCGTGGTCGGGGACGCGACTCGACTAGACTCGACTCACCTCGTCGGGGCTGTAGCCCAGCTTAGCGGCGAGGCGGCGCCAGATGGGGGCGGCGGCGGCGGCGCAGGCGGCGAGGCGCCGGGGGCTGAGCGAGGGCGGGTCGCCCGGATTCGGCGTCGCCTCCGCCCGCCGCACGCACCGCCCTCGCCTTCGAACGTCGCCGTCCGCGCTGCTGGCGCGGCGCCCGCGCCGCAGGCGCGCCGCTGCCGTCGCCGTGCCGCCGCTGCGCCACCGCCGCTGCTGCCGCGTCGCGTTCTCCCGTCGCCGCCGCCGGCGTCGTCCGCGTCGACGTCGTCGTCCGCGCCCACGCCGCCCACGCCCACGCCGCCGCCCCCGCCCTTGAGCAGCTCCTCTTCCTCCTCCTCCTTGACGGCCGTCTGCATCTCCGAGTCGCCGTCCGCGCGCCCCGCGTCGTCCAGGCCGCTCTGCAGGCTCTGCAACAGAGAGCGCACGGTCGCCGTTCGCGCATCGCTGGCGCTTCGCCGGCGCTTCGCCCCCCGGCGCACGCTCCATATGGATGAAGGGCCGCCGCACACTCACGAAGAACGTAACAACTCACTACCAATTAGCGAACCCGGGTAGCTACTTCCCCGGCTGGAAGGGTGGCAAGTCCCAACCTCACCTCGGATATGGATGCTTGCTTGTGTTGTGGCTTGGGACGCTTTCCCAACGACCAGTGTTACCTGGAACCGCCCTGCCTCCCATCCTTAACCTCTTGCAGTCAGAGTCCATACGGGCCTATGGACTTCCTCCGCAAAAAGAAATTCAAAACTGGCCAACTTGCGTCTCTGAGTTTGATTAACGCATCGCAAGTTGGGATAGAGCAAACAAAGCCTTGATACCAACCTCCGAGGCGACTGTGGAAACGACTCATCAAAACACGAGTTTCTTGTTTTGATTCGTTTTGTGGGTTAGTGATGACGTTAATAATATTTTATAACTAGTAATTGACCCACTCCGTTTAAATCAACTTAGCAACTCAAAATTACTACATATTTCAGTTCTGGATGTGCATATCCACCCATGCGGCAATGGAATGTTTTCGTATTTTGTCAATCTGCTTGAAATGCGTGCCCTTTGGGCATCCTTTGCATTGCGCCTCGCGCAGACAACGGGTCCAGGCAACCAGAAGATTCTATCCACACAAAAGAGAGAGACTACTGCAGAAAGCTCTCACGAGGAGATTTGCGAAGAACTGAATTCAACGTTGTACTACTTCCTTTATACAGGAATAACAGAAGCGATGCGTGCTTCTCGAATGGTATTCCTTTATTCCGAAAATATATTGCAAGCTGAATCGTTATAAAGGGGTCTGTTCCATGTCTGCACATGAATATAAACCATAGATACCGAAAAGGCACCGGTACGAGTGCTTCCTGTTGAAAGCCAGCACTCGAATCACAGATACAGTTCTTTAGTTCAGCAGCATAATGAAAAGAGGATAAAAAATGACTAAGTTGTTTGTAAAGGGGCATGTGCATGAAAACGAATTATAGCCCGAAGGGACAATACACAAATCAGGAATACATGTTTGAACTAGTGGTGCTACAAAATGGCACAGACATTTCCGTATTATTTTTCTATTTCCTTTGGTCTCAGCTAGCTATTCGAACTTGCCAAATACTCTCGCCTGCTGCCACTCAAAATACATAATTTTGAAAGTTTCCTAATTTTTCGGTTTCCTAATAGTAGAACGGAAATATTTTAAGAATATTAAAGAACAGTAAATCGTCGTCCTAAATGGCAATTTTCTTTGAAAAATTTGGAGCAATTTTTAGAAAAAGGGCGCTTACGCACTTCAGTATATTCGAAATTTGACGTACTTTTTCACAGACAAATTTTGAGTTTTCGCAAAACCTCGTTAGAAATCACTTAATCACATTAACTCACCTACTGTGCATACTACCAGCGAGAAATATATTTTTTAAAACTTGTGTAATTTTTTAAAGAACAAATAAATATCCTGAAATGACTATCGTCATATTAAAGAGTGCATTTAGCACTATCCGTTCTTAAAGTTTGAAGAAAAAATTTGGACCCGTTTTTGAGAAAATGGCACTTGAACATTTCTGATATTGGAAATTTTTAAGTTCGTTTTGACAGAAAACGGTTGAGTTTTCGAGAAGCTTTATCTGACATTATTTAAAGCACATGTTTTCATAAATATAATAATCTGAGCAAATTGCTGGTAATGTAAATATTAACGACGCGAGAGACAAGTAAAAAGAAATTCTGTCATCCTGTCTACATTGTTCAGACTGAACAACACTCCACAAAAGTTACGGTTTGGTTCGTAATCACCAATAAAGGCACTAAGAGGTTGTATTTTGTGGAAGGTACCATGCGTCAGAACCAATATATATTACATAGAACTTCTGAAGGAATCGTTACCATAACAAGGAATGGTTCCCTAATGACGAAAACTACATTTTCATGCATGATAGTGCACCCTGTCATAAGGCTAGTAGTATCATTCTGAAGGAATAGGTTCATTCTGAAGGAATTCATGAAAGTGTTAAAGTTGAAAGGTGGCATCACAAAATATTGAAAAGGTTTCTGTGACATGTGATTTTTATTTAAGATGTTAATAATATATAATAATTGCATATTAGTGAACCACATGTTCAATGTGACCATCAATAAATTGAACAGTCGTTGGCCACATTATTACGATCACTTGTATTTATGAAAATAATACAACTTTCTTACAAGTTGTATTATTTTCATAAATACAAGTGATCATAATAATTTGGCCACCCACTGTACTATTAATTACATTAGAATAGAGGGTACACAACCTTATGAAGACTGAGGGCCAAACATCTATAAAATATCTCACGTGGTGCGCAGCGGTGGCATATAAATCGCACGTTGTCAGAACCCAAAAAGGAAGAGGTTAAGAAGTTTTTACTTCTTCAAAAGTTCTTCTGCATTGCGGTTAATATCACCAGACACATGCTCCTTGGCAAAATATAATTTTTCATCCCCCACATCGCCTGAAAACATAATTAGTAACATTTATTCTAAATGTCCCTGTATAACTGCATTTTAAATATTTTGGTGCGAATAGCTTAAAGAGAGTTTTACACGGTTTTTGCAAGATATGGAAAGTTCTGACCATTTCTTCTGAACGTAGAGGTGCTCCTCAGAAACCTTTCACTTTTTGGTGAGAGCAATGATCAAGCACTGTCCTGTCAGGTAAGCCAGACAACTTGCTGCAACTTGCACTTGCTGCTGAACCCGCACTTCACACAACCATCCTCAACATCAATCTTCTGGCTAGGCTTTAAATATGGCAGGATCAGATTGTTGCTCGTTTTCACACTGTAGAGTAGCATGCTAAAATCATTGCAGTCCCCAACGAACCCTCATAAATTGACACTACCAAGCGGTTCCTTTACTCCACGACTCTTTTATAACTCAGCGTCAGACGTTCTCTGAAGAATGAAGTCAAATACCGGTTGTTACGTTGCCGCTGCTGGTAACGATGCAGCTGATACAATACGTTTTTCTCTTTCTTTTATTCTTCCTTTTGCAGCCGTTGGGCGCAGATTACGAGAAATTTTAAGGTATCCGACATATCTTGCACGGTTTATTCGGTTTATGAGATATCCCTGAAGTAAATGCAAATTAATTATTCGTGTTATTTTTATTGACGTTAACATCCACGGAAAATTGAAAAAGGTGCCGAAGATATAAATGAAGTCAATAATATACCCAGACAATGTACTTGGAAAACGACGACAGCCACCGAGACAATGGCGGCGGAGATGGAAACCCATATGCTTATTGGTTCTTCGGTACATGAAAATTCAGGCTTGCGGCAGATATTACACATTTCCCCAGAAATTTATTCGGCCGCTAGGCCGAAATTCAAACGTGTTTCGGTAGGAAATCTGCTCACTCGACTTCGGTTGTAGTGATTTGGGCGTGTCACTTTAGCCGACGATACGAATTCAAAACTCATTGGCATAGTTTTTAGGAAAAGATAAAAAATGAAGAGAAGTTTTCAAATAAAGTTATTTCTTTTGAAAAAATATAAACATAAAAAGACGAACGAGAGTTCCCAGATGCAGGGCCCCGTTCCCTTATGCAGAGAGAGGAACTAAGCCCTCATTTCGGGCCGAGAGAAAATCTCGACTGTTGAGAAATGAAATGTAATCTCTAAGAAAATGCCGCTTGCGCCGTAATTCTGCGGAAGATGAAGTTGGCTTAAGTCTCACTACAAAGCGCGCTCGCGTACACGCTGGTGACATTACAGAAATTCCTTTGTTCTAATCTTTCCTCTCTCCCAAATCGCTACAATCATGTAACACGCATGCGAAATTGTGTTATCAATAAAATAACATAATTCTATGCGAAGGTTTAATCAAGAAGTTTCTTTACAATTAATACAATATTTAACTGAATGTCAAAATGCATATTTCAGGATACTAATCTTCGCTTCACCTCAGCAACGTGCTTTTACATTTGTTATTTGTCTGTGAAAAGAAAAACAACTTATAAACGACATTTAATCCACATATTACGTTATGGAAGCTACAATAGGAAATGCACTTTTTGCTATATTGATGATGCCGGTCAATATTTGTATTGAAAAAAGTTACTACATAACATTTATTACGACAAATACAATTATTATTATTATTTTCCTTTTATAGTGCACATACAAAAATAATATTAAGAAGAAGGCACCGATCTTGCTCTCACAAGAAATCCAATTGAAATGACATGTGAACATTATTATTATTATTATTATTATTATTATTATTATTATTATTATTATTATTATTATTATTATTGGCTTACAGGCCATTACTGACCACGCTACACGATTAACGTTTGTAATTTTAGGCCCAGCTTTTCAAATTATTATTATTATTATTATTATTATTATTATTATTATTATTATTAATAATAATAATAATTCGAATTCACAGTTATTTACCGCACAATCTGCGAAAAGAAACACACAAAAACTAATTACAAACTATTTCTGACACTATATCTGGCCAATTATATTTGGCAAAACTTGTCACTGTCGACAAATAGTGACGGCAGCAAAATAAGGTACGTTGTATTCTCTCCAACTGAGTATCGTTGTAGAGGCATAGACAGAAAACAAGTGAGAAACGGAACTCGGGTATATTTCTTTTTTATTCCCTTTTTGAAAGCTCCGTCCGTGAGCCATAACGATTTTACCTGCGGCTATACATTCTGTACGGAACCGACGTGTTGTAAGCCCATCTGAAACAGTAGAGTAAGTTGTTCAAAAAACTTCAAATATTCAAAGTGTTTGCCACCGCAATTCAGAACTAACGAGAGAGAGAGAGGAATACGCTCACCCCCCCCCCCCGATAACCGATGTTCATTTAACTGTCACGATGAAAGTCATTACATAAGAATCCTCATCAAGAAAAATCTACAAAACAAA